TCACCAGTTCACCTACCAAAGACAGCTTGGTTGTTTCAATTTGAGGGAATGATGAATAAGGCTAGTATAAACACCCATGTGAAGGTTTTGTGTTCATGTAAGTTTTCAGCTGCTTAGAGTAAATATTAAGGAGCCGGGGTACATGATAAAAGTGTTCGAGTTGTTAGAGACTCAGCTGCTAAACAGCCTCCTGAGTGGCTATACCATTTCCCATTCCAACCAGAGAAGGATAAATCTTCCTTTTGTTCTTTTCCTTTCCTGCTTCAGTGTTCTCTGGGTCCCCGCTGTGGGCCAGTCAAATAAGCATGGTGTGGTTATTTTATTCTTGTTTAGTTAGCATTCTCCTGATGATGTAAGTTGAAGAGCAACTTGTCACGTCTTACTTGTCTTCTACATTTCTTAGATGACGGATCTATGTAAGAGCTCTTACAGATCAACAAAAAGAATGTCAAAACAGAGAAAGTAGGAGGAAATATTTTCTGAGGCTGGGTTATTCACAAAGCAAGAATACAAGTGAGAGGTAAAGATCCAAAAAAGTAAACTCAACCTGTAGTAAAAAATGTATAACTCAAAGCAAGAAGATGCCGCCTGTATCCATCAAGTCTGCAAAACCCTTTTTTAAAACATTGTAATCCTAAATCCTGACCCAGAGATACCGCAGTCCTGGTAAAAATATAAATTGTTAGTGAACTTCATAGAGCAATAATATAGATCAACAATTATCAAATATTCTTTCCTTTTCACCCAAAATTCCCTCTTCCAAAAATCTCTCTGAGGAAATAAACATAAATATAAAGATACATATAAGAATTTTTTTTTATTTTTAGACATAAAGCATTTTTTAAAAAAAAATGGAAATGGTCATGTATACATGAGAAAATGAATTGATACATTATGGAATAGATACTTTATAAGAGCAATAAAATATTATGAGCTAAAAGAGTATTAATCAGGCCCAGTGCGAAAGCGTAGCGACTACAGTCCTCACCTTGAATGCACCGGGAATCCATATGGGCACCGGTTCTAGCCCCGGTGGCCCCACTTCCCATTCAGCTTGTGGCCTGGTGGGGGTGCAGTCAAGGATGGCCCAAAGCCTTGTGACCTGCACCCATATGGGAGACTCAGAGGAGGCTCCTGACTCCTGGCTTTGGATCTGCTCAGCTCTAGCCATTGCAGCCGCTTGGGAAGTAAACCATCAGATGGAAGATCTTCGTCTCTGTCTCACTTCCTCTCTATATATCTGCATTTCCAATAATTTTTTTAAAAAGAGTGTTAATCACATAAGGCAAAGTTAGTTATGTGATAAGCAAGAAATACATTCCAAGAACTCTGAGAAAGTAGATGTGCTTTATGTTTCCAATTTTATTTTTAAATCTATTCTTAGACTGCATTTATATAGAAAACAGGCAGGAAGCTGCAAAAAATATCAGCAGGGATTAGCTATTCATGGAACATTATAGAAGGTTGTATTTTCTTCTTCAAAGTTCATATATTCCAATTATTCTACAATAAATATTATTTTTCTTAGTTGGAAAAAATGCAGCAATTTTCAAAGTATGTTATGTTGCATCAAAATGTCAAGATGATTGGAAGTGAGCTACTGTTGCTGAGCATTTAGGAGGAGACAGTTTCCGAAATGTTTGCCTCTTCCATACAACTGCACAGCCTTCCCACCACAGGCTTGGTCTACTCAGGAACCTGGCCACTGCCCATTGGCTAGGGTGAAGCCTTGTGCTTCTCAAAGTGAGATTTTTCTCTCTTTGGGAGGCAGGCCGTGTGTTGAGGGCACAGAGAGCCACAGCACCCATCTGTAACTGGAACTTAATCTTGCCTGATGGTGAGAAATTTATAGCATTATTTTTGAATGATGAGCAAAATATTAGATCTGCATGACCTAGTAAGAAGTTTTGAGTTTGTGAGGGGTTACTTTAGGTTACATTTTGTTCAAGTATGAATATGAACTTATTCTTCCAAAACTCAAGATAGAATTGGATGACCATTGGGAGGTGGGACTTGAAGAAGTGATTAGTTAGAGGAGTTAATGTAATTCTTGTAGGACCAGAGCAGTGACTGCAAGGAGTCCTTAGAATGCAAACTCTCTTGCATTTTGCCTCTTCCACCCTCACCCTCTTGCCCTTCCATAAAGGAACCTGCAACAGAAGCCAAGATGATGATGCCAGCACCACACTCTGGGACTTTGCAACCCCCAAGTTCAGGAGCCAAACTAAACCTGTGCAGCTTAGAAACCAGCCAGGTTCAGATACACTGTTAGAACAGCAGAAAACAAGCTAAGCTGTATGCTTAGGACCAGCAAGTTCCAACTCGCTGTTCTTTCACTAGATTGCAGCAGCATTTCTCAACCTTGATATTTTGAGCAGGTGAATTCTTTGTTGTAGATGGGAGACAATGTCCCACGCATTGTACAATTTAGGAGCATCCCTACCCTCTACCTGCTGCATGCTAGCCATACACACCATCACCACCATCACCACCACCACCACCACCACCGAGCAGTGCTCCTGGGGAAGTGAAAATTGCTCCTTAGATGAGAATTGACTGCCTGGTTGAAAAGTTCTCATTTGGTTAAAATGGTTAAGAATTAGCATTTAGACTAAACTCCAGAAGACTAGTCTGCAGTTGCACCACTTGCCTGATTATACTTATATGCACCTGTATTCCTTAAATAAATGAATGAAATGGATTCAAGCAGAGACAGTTCCAACAAAAGCAGCCCAGGGAAGTCACCTGCCATTCCATATGCATCGGGATAAAGCTGCCCAGCCCACAACAACCCTACCTTCTGCAGCCTAACTCCCTCCAAGGTCATAGATTCTGTAATCCCAGGGTAACTTCCTATAACCTACTCGGGTTTTTGATTCCTTGACCACTTGTTTCTATATAAAATCTCTGCTGCTGAACTCTCAGATGTGGCCATTTTACCCAGAAAGAATCTTGGTTGTAAAGTTATAGATTAACGCAAGGCAAACAGGTTTCTTTGCAATGCTGCCGTTTGACTTAGGAACATGATGCGTGTCTTCAGCAGATTCTGTCTTCCTTGAGTCCCTACAGAGACCTGCAATCTTATTTATGCCTAACTTTTTTTCTTTTTAGTTTCTGAAGGTGTAGCTGGTTTCATGGTGAGGATTCAGTAGCACAACATGGGAGATACTTTGCTCACACAGCAGGTGCCATAGAAATGCCTGCCATGATTATCACCCTAGGTTTCTTCTATTGAACCTCTTCGACTATTGGATGAGCCATAGTTGTTCTGTCTCAGCTTCTGCCCGGCTCCTGTCTAGGACGAAGATGGAAAAAAATCAGTCATTAAAAGGCAAGATGTAATCACAGGGCCTCAAGGGTGCCATCTGGCTTCAGTAAACAAAGTTTAACATTCCTAGGAACAAAGGACTATATTTGGGTAAATCTTCCAGTCCAGTTACAAACCGTTTGCTGCTTATATAGAAACAGGCTGTCTGTGTATCTGCCCCCAAAATTCAGGAGTTTAAAACATCAACAGTTTTGCTGGTGAGTGACAGAACAACTGGGTTCTGCTGATCTTCACTAGCATTGACAATACTCGGCTGACCTCACACACCTGTAGTCACCTGAAGGGTAAGCCAGGGACAGGCGGGTCTAGGACTTCCCCTCTGGCAGTGACTGACTGTTAGCTGGGGCAGGGACTTGGCCTGGGTTGTGACTCTCATCAGGGGCAAACTAACTTAGGCCAATAGTAATGGTGCATAGATGTCCCAGAGACAACAGAAGTGCACTGGGCTTCTTGAGACTTGTGCTTGGGTCACAGGCAGTCTCTCCATCTCATTCTATTGGCCAGAGCAAGACATGAGGTCAGCCTACATTCAGGAAGTGGGAAAGCAACTTCTCCGCTTCACCAGCAGGGCTTCATGGTCAATATTGCAAAGGGTGTGGAGGACTCTGGAGAACTGACATCCTGTCCGTCTGCCACACTCCCTACCTACACCGAGAGAGGACACTTTTGGCAACAATTTTCTTTCAACACAGGTTTCTTTGCCTTATAAGCAGCTTGCACATGGTCTGGTTTGAGGGAAAGTTTAGCAGAGAGTCGGTCTCATCCTTCTTCCTGACTCACACCAGTTCCAGAAGAGATGGTTTCTTGACTTTGAAACCAAATCTAGGTCTGTTGTATGTCATCTTCCACATATGTTGTAATGTGATCTAGGTCCCTGTCTGGTTTCCTTTTTTTTTTTTTTTTGCAATTTATTTATTTATTTATTTGAAACCTGGAGTGACACAGAGAGAGGGATATCTTCCATCCACTAATTTACTCGCTAGATGGCTGCAATGGCCAGGTTGTGCCACAACAAAGTCAGGAGCCAAAAGCTTTATCTGGGTGTCCCTCATGGGCAGCAGGAGTCCAAACACATGGGCTATTAGCCACTGCCTTTCCAGGCACACTAGCAGGGAGCTTGATAGTGATTGAAGCAGTCGAGATATGAACCAGTTCACATCTGGGATGCTAGGGTCTCAGGCCTATGCCTTCCCTGCTGCATCACAGTGTCAGCCCTTGTCTTTCCAGTTTCCAAAGCAGTTGCTTGTTTTAGGTGGAGTTTCTTAGCATAGGTATACCAAAATGCTGAGGATGATTCCCAGTTAATGGTGGAATCAATATTTGTTGGCTTATCAAGCTAATTAACTCAAGGGCTAATTAACTCCAAGTCCCATTAGGAATATTTGAAAATGTTAGGGGCATAAAGAGTTTGGAAGTAATTCAATCATCCCTCCTCCTCCTACCATCTCTGCCTTTAACTTACGTACCAGGAATGTTATCCACTGGTGGTCACACAGGGACAGATTTTTCTCTACCAGCATCTTCCATCCTCTGGTTCTATGGGGAGTTGGATGATGCCTCAAGTCCCACCATTTTGGGGATAACAGAATAGGAAGCAAGAAGCCAATGATCTAGTCCTGACTCCTGGACAAGCACTGGAATGGGTGGCAGCATGTTTCATTGCTCTCCCCAGGGCCGTGGGGGCAAAGGCAGCATCTACGTGTGGGCCTCTGGGGATGGTGGCAGCTACGACGACTGCAACTGTGACGGCTATGCCTCAAGCATGTGGACCATCTCCATCAACTCGGCCATCAATGATGGCAGGACTGCCCTGTATGACGAGAGCTGCTCCTCCACCTTGGCCTCCACCTTCAGCAACGGGAGGAAGAGGAACCCTGAGGCCGGCGTGGTAAGTGCAGCCATCTCATCCTCACTTCCAAATACCCACCGGCCCTCTGAGGCGGCATAGGATATACCATTCCTCCCAGAGAGCTAACACCAGTTCTGAAAAGAAGACCCATTTTCTGGTTTTTTTTTATTATATTTACTTTTATTTCAAGAGGTACTTTCAGTGAAAATCAGTAACATTAATAATCTTATACCTGACAACCTTTCAGGCAGCTTCAAAATGTTGGGTATACAAAGACGTTCACAAATAGGTATGATTTTCTGTAGTGGTTTGAGAGTTCAGAACAACCCAAATCTTATGTAATATTTGAGGCCTTTTTTTTTTCTAATTTTTTATATAAAAAAATATGTTTCATGCATTCCATAAATACAATACCAAAAAGATAACCACATTTCTCTCCCTTCTCATTTTTATCTTTAGTCCTCTTCCTTCCCTCCATCTCTTCCTCTCATCAGTTTTTTAATTTTAATTTTAATTTTAATCCACTCTATAGCCACAGGCTTAATGCACCACCAACCATAATATTCAACAAGTAAAACTAGGAAGACCACAGTTCTATAGGAGTACAAATAAGGGCTAAAAAAGACAACCATATCACACGGTTTTCATTTCATCCCTCTATATTCCTTTGTATTCTATATAAACTGCCACATATCATAGAAAAAAATGAGAGATTTGCCTTTTTGAGTTTGGCCTATTATTTAGCATAATTGGTAGACACATTTTCTTTATGCCCAGTTATTTTTTGTAGTGGTCTACTATATGCTGGGAGCAAGCAATGGTGATTCCTTTCTAGCTCATTTTCCATAAATTTTCTTCCTTATAATTTTGGCTTATGAACAATGATAAACACTGGTTTGCCCTTATGCTTTCCCAGCACAACATTCTTAAAAATAATTATCAGAATGGACACGTCACACCATTGCCTTGTCTGAGCCAAGAACCTATACATGTATGATGGTCATTAAAATATAGCGTTTATGGATGAATTTTCTAGGCCCATCAGCCTCCTAAAACTCTGCATACCTGTGGATTTTCTCAAGAAGGAATTTTGACTTTCATGGTATTTCTTTTTAATTTATTTATTTTCATTAAACAATCAAATATACAGAGGAGGCAAGACAGAGAAAAAGATCTTCTGTCCACTGATTCACTCCTCAAGTCTCAAGTAGCTACAACAGACTGGAAGCCAAAAGATAGGAGACTCTTCCGGGTCTCTCATGTGGGTGCAGGGTCTCAAGGCTTTGGGCCATCCTCGACTGCTTTCCCAGGCCACAAGTAGGGAGCTGAATGAGAAGCAGGGCCGCCGGGATTAGAGCTGGTGCCCATATGGGAGCTTGACACATGCAGGGCGAGCGTTTTAGCTGCTAGTCTACCATGCTGGGTCCTAATGGTATTTTTAAGTAGATTCACAAGTTCAAAAACAAAAACATTACAAATCATGCATGTGAGTTATTTACTTCTTTGTGCTGGGTAACTCTGCCTTCTTAAATCACTCAGTTTACGATAATACATTTCCCCACCTCTTGTAAATATATCTCACCCGTTCAGCATAACGAATCCTTTTGGGTCATTTGTTCTCAGTGGTTGTTTGGTTCCTTAAACTCTGCTTAGACCTCCAAACCAGGAGTCTAGAGGGTGACCTCAAAGCCACCGATGAGCCCCATCCTGACAGCAACACCCTCTGCGCCAGAGCTTTCCATGACAGGTTAATAAAGAGCTCAGAACCAAGCCATCGGGTGCCTTCTAGTGCTTCACTGCCATCTGATCTCCCACTTTGGCAAGCTGGCCAGGCTCCTGTGTGAGCCACCAAAATCCTTAACCTAGAAGGAATACAGACCTTGACAGCAGGTCCCTCCCAGGAGTCCTCCTGGGCTCTTCCTGGCCTAAGGGAGAAGAGCAAGCACGCCAGGTGCTACCAGAAAGAGGAGGCCTTGGCCCTTCTTAGCATAAGAGAAGCAGGCGGGAAAGATTAGGTGTGGACAGCCCCATTCTCCTTAAGAGGTCTCCTCCTGCCTCCCACCCACCCCCAGAAGCTCCACTCCTCAAGGGCCTCACAGCGTGGGGCTTTGCCCCAGCCCTTATCTGTGACTTTCTTTCTGCTTGGGCTAGAGAAGGGCCTTGAGTTTCCTCTGAATACTGTCATTTTGCCCAGTGGATGCCTTTACGCCTCCCTGATACTTTGTTCTTCAAAATAATAGGCTCTTTTGAGGAGCCTACAGACAGAGAAGAATTCCTGTGGTTTATACATGACCCTGGCACACATTGGAAATAAGATTTTACTCTTGGTGAAAGTTCTTTCAAACTCAGCTTGCCAGTTCCCCCTTGGCCCTGAAATGAGACTTGGCGTGGATGATCATGCATACTGGGTCCTGTTGACTCAGCCTGTCTCAGAGCCTCTCCATGAGTTCTAGGGATTTAGAAAGATTCATTTTTTATTACCTGGTTCTTGGCAGACTTAAGCTGAGCATGTTATTCTTCCTCTTCACAAATTCCATCCTTGTCTTCATAAAGGAAAAAGAAATGCTGCTTCAGTGGCCTTTACATTTTCCCAGAGTCGGTTCTAATTCAACAAAAAGATTTGCACTGAGTATGATGATGGAATTGGTGCTTAACTTCCCACCTCTTAGGGTTTTTAGGCTCAGGAAGTAAAAATACCTCTGGTCACTGGAACAGCCCAGATGTGCTGCTTCCGACAACTGGCTTGTGTAGTGGGGAATTGTTCTGTAACTATAAGTGATTATATGTCCCTTTTTGCATCAGCTACTAGAAAGCTCAGATAAAATAAATAGCAAAGAGCAAGGTGAATAGATGCTAAGTCTCTCCTTAGCTTTGTCTTCTTAAGGAAAAAGATAAAGTTTAAGTAAAATAAATAGACAACCCTCCTACTCCATATTGCTTTGAGGGGATCAAAAAAGCATTTTGATGTGTTCACTCATTATTCAATGTCTTCCCTTGCAGGCAACCACAGATTTGTATGGCAACTGCACTCTGAGGCATTCGGGGACGTCCGCAGCTGCTCCCGAGGCAGCTGGCGTGTTTGCACTGGCTTTGGAGGCAAAGTATGTTGACGGCTCTGGGCCCAGGGCTGGTTCTGCAAGGTGGAATAATATGCCGGTCTCTCCATCCACATAACAGGTGTCCATGGAGTCTCATATGGGTTGGAGAACCAGTAGATAGTCAGGGCCAATGAACTCTGCTGGATTTTTCTAAATCACTCTTACACACACACACACACACACACACACACATACACACACACACACACCATAAAACTACACCCTTAGGAGAACACAAACTATACACCCAACAGCATATTAGCACATATCAGCAAGCTATTCAAATACCAATAGGGTCACACAGCTATTTCTTTCTCTCTTTTTTAATTTGAAAGCCAGAAAGACACAAGGAGAGAGCTCTTCCATGCTCTGGTTCATCCCCAAATAGTGCCCCACATGAGTAATAAGAGCTCAACTGCTTGAGCCATTACCTGCAGCGTCCCAGGGTACACATTAGCAGAAAACTGGAGTAAAAGTGGGACTTGAACCCAGGATCTCTGATACGGAATATGACTGTCCCAATCAGCACCTTAAGAGGTTTACCAAATGCCCATCCTTCTTTTCTTCATGAAATCCACTCCTTTGTCCTTTGTCCCTTGGCTGTTTAACTCTACTAGTAGTCACGATCAACTAAGTAAAGGAAAACAAAATAGCCAAGCTGAGTGTCTCACAAGGTGCTTGAGAACGTGTGGCAGCAAGGAGTTCATACTCCAGACTACCCACTTGTAGGTAAATCCTTTAACCTTAGAGAGAAGGTGGGTGTGGTCATGCAGTGTGCATGCAGAGCTTTACTGGGGAACCTTGCAGGCTACGAGGAAGGGGAGACCATTCCCACGTTCTCGCCATTCCTCAGGCAGGTCACATGCTGCTGCTGCTGGACTAGCCTTGGATTTGATCATCATTGGGGGTGTCTGCCCATAAGCTTGAGAAAAAGCCAGAGACCAACCTTATGTTCCAGACCCAAGCTTTCAGCTTCAGACACTACGTTTGTGGTGTGAGGGCAACTGCCACCAGCTGTGTAGGAAATTGTCAGGAAACATAGCACCCAGAAACTTGTGAGAAGTTAAATTCGGGCTGTTGGGAAAGAAAAGTCCTTCATTTGCATCAGTTGTTTTAGGCAACCTGAGTTTTTCACCTGGGTCTCCAGGCACCTTCATCTGTCTTTCTCTGCATATGCAGTGCATTTTCTGATTTGCAACCGAGGCAAGAGTTGGTTCCTAGAATAGGAAGGGACTTCAAACTCAGTGTAGTCTTCTGCCTTCAAACAGAAGGGGCACAAATACATGACTTTTAGATAGAAATATCAATATATGCATATATTAAAAGCAAAAGGAGGAGGAGAAAGAAAGACTCTGGAATAAGAATGACTCCTCTTTGGATCAATTTCAACTTTGATTTTTTTTGTAACAAAAGTCAGGACCCCAAGAGACAGACACTGGTGGGAGCTTAACTATTAAGCACAGAAACCAAGACGTGGTCTCAATATGCACATGCTGAATGTGAACCTGTTCACTCAGAGCCTGAGGGGACCCCAGAGTCTAAGTGGACTTTCCTCATGCCATCTGGCCTGAGCATTGCTGGGCCTCACAGGGAACAGGGAGCTGGAGTCGTTGTGGTCTAGGTTCTGGGCAAACATTTATTTCCTAGGTTCTTACCTCTTAAAAGGCATTTTAAGCATAGGCACTAACACGATTTAAGGAAGTGGTAAAATTTATTTGGAGGGTGAGAAATACAGATATAACATGGGCCATGTTCAGGGACAGAGGAACAGAAATGGAAAGCAAAGGGAGAGAAATTGCTGCCTCTGTCCTCAGAATCCATCTGCAGGAAGCAGAAGAGCGAGAAGGTGAGAGGCACAGGACCAAGAGAGCAAGCCCCTCCCCATCATGGGCATTTGGGGGGCTTGAGAGGGGAATGGTTACACAACAATGCAAGACCGCCCCACCTCAGACTCCAGGTGTAAGTGTCATTTGACTCATAGGTGGGCAGAAAGGATTACGTAGGCAGGGGATGTGGAATTTCCAAACTTGAGATCCTGAACTAGCTGCCTAACACCGTAGCAGAATGATCTGAAAGCCAAATGAGTTTCTGATCCCCCTTTCAAGCTCTAGTGGCAGAACTTGACCCACAGTCTCCTGGGATTTGGAACAATCAAAAAGTCACTTGCACAGGTCCATGTACATACAAGGGGATAGCCTCAATAAACCAGTGGAGCAAAGCTGCTGCATTCCTACTCATCACCATCCCTTTAGCATCACAGTGCAGACATCTGACAAGATGAATGTGCCGAGCACTAGAGCAGCCTTTGTTTGGGAGCAATGGACATAAATTTAAAGCTTTCAATTGACATAAGGAAGGAAAACAATACCTGGAGGTAGTAGTTCAGGTCATCTTGCTCAAAAATTCTTCAGAGCAACAACTGCCTGAGAGTGGCACCAGACTCCAAGATGAGGTTTGCATGTGAGTTATTTATTAAAGAAAAACTGAGTTTCAGGAAATACCAATAAGCAAGTGAAGTAGGGGAAGGAGTTGGGGATGGGAGATAACTCAAGCCAGGAGAAGTTTTAGCCTGGGGCTAATCCTTTAGAAACTCCAGAATGCCAAGGATGCCTCAAAGAACAGAGCTGGGCTATACTTTGTCTAAGAGAAGCCCCAAGGGATGCACACACTAAGAAATTTCTGGCTGTCTGTGCCTTTCTGGCCTTCCAGCAGCCAGCAGTTAAAGGCATTGATCAGGAAAGCTCACAGACATACAGGAGGATCCTAGAAGTCCCTCTCTGCTTCGGCTCAGATGAGGCAGCAGGGAGCCCCAGTGACATATAGGACAGTAGTGCAAGGCTGTTTCCCATGCAGCGGTCCATCCAGCAGCTGTTCCAAAGTGGTTTGAATGCAGTAAGTGATCGTGTCCACACACCGGCCCACCAGAATCTTGGAAAACTAAGAATAAGCCTTTCTCCCCACAGCATGACTCCAGCAGGGAATGGTAGCATTCTCTCCTTCTGACCCGTGTTCACTTTGTTGCTCCATCTCAGAAAGTTCCAAGAACTTGAAAATGGCAACTTGAGTCACAAGGGAATATTGCTCACACCTCTCCTGATGGTACCAATATTAGAGAAACTACCAAGGGCATCAGTATTTGCACACAGACTGGTTTAGTCACTGAATAAAGTATGAAAGACTGTCCAAGGCACTGGAGACACAAACTTACTAAATATACTGTCTGTTCCAAAGAAGACTCAACAACCTGGTTAACTAACCACTACCCTGACCTTGGACAACATAGACTAGTTGTTCCTGTTTCTCTGCTTTAAGTAAGCAGAATCATGCAGACACTCTCTACACGGGTCTGTGTTTGTATTGCTAGGACAAAATACCTGATGCTGAGTACCTTATAAGGAAAAGAATGTTTATTCAATTCACAGTTTGGAAGCTGGGAGTCCAAAATTGAGTAGCCCCTCTGAGGAGGACCCCTCGGCTTACTCATATCATGAGGCAAATGCATGAGAGGAAGTGATCACATGGAGTTAGGAAGCAAGGAAGCCAGCATGGGCCAGTATTGCTCTTTTATAACAATGCTTTCTCTCAATAATAAGAATCCCATGAAAACTACATACGTTGCCCTCCAAGGGCAGTGCCTCCTGTGACCTAATCACTTTACACTAGGAACAACCTCTTAAAGGTACTGTCACCTCCCAGCGTCACCACACTGGAGGCCAAGCTTCTAGCACATGGACCCTTGGGGAGACACACTCAAACCATAGCATTTTCTTCCACCTTCCTCAGGTCAATACTGTATTTGTAAAAATTGTCCATGTTATTCAAAATAACTATAACATCCTCCTCTGGGTGAATATCTGCGGACTTCATAGTTTGGAGCTAAGAACATTCTAGTCTGGTGAATGTATGCAAGTTTCTGTCATATACCTACCTAGGGGTAGGATTGCTGTGCCATAGCTTAGACATATGGACAGTGTTAGAAGACACAGCGAGGCAGTTTTGCAAAGTGGCTGCCACAATTTACACATGTGTCAGTGTAGAACAGGAGTTCTGGTTTCTCCACACCTCTTTCAACTCTTGACATTGTCAGTTTTTTCCACTTCAGCCGCTCCATCATGTTTGCTTGAAAACTCTTTCAAAGTAAATTTATTTGAGAAAGACAGGAATTTTTTTTTAATTGACATGCATAGTGGTTCTAAGTTAGTCCATGTACATCTATCATTTTACTGGGGCTCACAAATGTTGCTCATTGTGTTTCTCTCTCTCTCTCTCTCTCTCTCTCTCTCTCTGCCTCTTATTCTTGCTCTCACACTCTCTTCCTCCCTTCTCTAGCCTGGGTCTGACCTGGCGAGACATGCAACATCTGACAGTGCTCACCTCCAAACGGAACCAGCTGCATGACGAAGTCCATCAGTGGAGGCGGAACGGAGTCGGCCTGGAGTTCAACCACCTGTTTGGATATGGTGTCCTGGATGCAGGCGCCATGGTGAAAATGGCTAAAGACTGGAAAACCGTGCCCGAGAGATTCCACTGTGTGGGCGGCTCTGTGCAGGACCCTGAGTAAGTGGGGCAGCAGTGTAACTCCAGGGGTGCCATTTACATAGAAAATTTACAATTACATAGATCACTGGGGTAACTCCCAACTCCTGCTTTTAGCTTTCAGCTTTGACTGTCTCAGTAGCTAATGTCATTATTTGTTTCTTTTTATTTAAGAGGCAGATTTTGTGAGTCCTCTACAGAAAAAGGAGACAGAGAATGCTCCATCTGCTGCTTCTCTCCCCAGATAACCTCAATGACCAGAACTGTGCCAGTCCAAAGTCAGGAGCCTGTAGCTTCTTTCAGGTCTTCCACAAGGGTACAAAAGTCCAAGCAATTGGACCATCCTTCACTGTTTTCCCAGGCCATCAGCAAGTAGCTTGACCACAAGTGGAGCAGCCAGGACCAGTGCTTAAGTTACTATCCTACGGTTTCATCCCCTATGCTGTTATTTTTTTAAGTGCACAAATCAACCCAGATCAACAAATAGAACATGCTAATATCCCAGGAGGCCCCTTGTCTCCTTCCCTCATCATCTCCCCAAGCATATCTGTTGTTCTTTCCTCTGACCCTGTAGATCATCCTGCCTATTCCATATTTAAAATAACAGAAGCATCTACTATGCTTTTGTTCAGAATTGTGTTTTGGGGATTTGCTGATATGCGGTGTGTACTTGTAGTTTATCATGATTACAAGAAGAGCATTCTGCCACGTGACTATGGTCCCCTTGGCATATTCATTCTCATGAATGACTAAGCTGGACTTCCAGCCCCACAGAGAAGCCACTGTGTTGGTCAAGTGTGTACTAGCTGCCCTTCCAACTTCCCACCATGACAACAGGCTGGCATGATAAGACTGCTTCTCCACTTAGTCTCTGTTGATCTGTCAGGAAGGAGATATCAATTCTTATCATTATTATAATTGAGATATCATGCCCATATCATGAAAGGTACAGAGTTTATATGTTTTATCTGTGTTTCCATAAACATATGCAGCAGAAACTATCACAGAGCATTCATCCCCCACTCCCCGCCAATATTCTTCAGGCTCCCTTCCAGTTACTCCATAATCAGCACCTTCATTCTCCCCGCAGTAGATTGGCCTCACTACTTCCTGGATTTGGTCTAATCAGAGAACCACATGGCACGGGTGCTTTTGTGTCCAGCTCCTTTGATGCAGCATTAGTTTGGTGGGATTTGTCAAAGTTAGAGCACACAGCAATCATCCACTCATTCTTGTGGCTGGGAGACACACACCTCTGTGGCTTCCATTGTTTACATCAGGGTAAATCTGACTCCTCATCCACTTCAGTGGTCCCCAACCCTGACCTCACTTCTGCAAATCAAGAGAACTTAACTGGACCCTATTCAGTCCACAGTATCATCTTCCTTTCTTCTCCTCTGGACCTGGGTTCTGTTCAACTTTTGTTGCCAGTTACTCAGACCTGAACTCAATTATTTTTTTAAACAATACTTATATATTTATTTGAAAGGCAGAAAGATGGGGGGAGAGAGAGATCTTCACCCTGTGGTTCACTTCCCAAATGCACACCATGCCTGGGACCAGATCAAAGAAGGAGCCAGGATCTCCTCCCTGGTCTCCCATGTCGAGCCATCCTCTGCTGCCTTTCCAGACACATCAGCAGGGAGCTGGACTGGAAGTGGAACAGCCAGGCCTCAAACCAACATTCTGATATGGGTGGGTGGCATCATACACAGCAGGTTATGCTGTGCCACAACACTGGTTCCTTGAAGTCAAATCGTGACTTCCCCAACATTCACAATGCATTTAACTTTTGTAACCCTCTATTTTACCAATCCTCAACCTCTGACCCCTGACCTCTTTAGTACAGTAAACCAGGAGACCTTCACTCAGCATGATGTTTTCAAACTCATCAGCCCAAACAGAGGATTATGAAGGAAATCAACGAGGTTGAAATTCAATGATGAAAGATTAATATGCAAATGGGTTGGAATACACCCTTTTTATTCACACAATATTTAGAAAGCTCTAAAGGCGAGTTTCACAGCCATGATCGTGTGGTCACTGAATGACCATGAGGACCGCTGGAGATGCCTGCAATGACTGTAATGAGCTGTGTGGTGACAGGGGCTCAGGAAGTGCTCCTTCCCCTGCTCAGTGGGCTGCTTTCAGAACAGAAGAGAAGGTATCTGTTGTGGGTTGGGGAAAGCTGAGACACAAAGCAACAGCAACCCAGCGTGGTCCCCTTGGAGACAAAGGCTCTGGTCTTGTGTACGATTCTACCCATGGCCCCTGAGGGTGATTCTCCAGGGAAGGAAGCAGCTGAGAGCTCACAGTACCAGCCAATGGGCACCGCCCAGGGAAGGGGGTCTGGATAGAGGGTGCTCTTCCTCATACCCCTTTGCCACGCAGTGCCTGAGATTGGCCCAAGCTTAATCCAAACCCTTGTATCATTCCTTCTATCTCAAGAGATTATCTCAGCATGGGCCAATCTCTTTCTTGTGTGAAAAGAATACCTTATTGCTGACTCAGAAACTCTTTACGGAGTGGGCTGTGGATCTGACTTCAAGCTAATGTGGCCAGCTCATCTCTGACTCTCAGCTGAAGAAATGTTTTGAGTTTTCACTTGGTGGAAAAGCAAAGATGATTTTCCACCAGAGTTGCCACAAATTGACTTGTAAGAGAATTGTCACTGTGTGACTCCTGTCCCTAAGTGCCCTGGGTGCAATCTGTTACAGTGAATGCATTTTCTTAGAATTTAGTTGGAGTTCTGGACCCTTGTGGTAATCGTGACGATCGCATTTGACAAACAGTTGGTAATATTTACGGCACCAGATGGTTTTACTTGGGCTGTTAGTTGATGAATGTCCTAATTGAACTTCTCAAGGGAGCAGGGATTACAAGACAGAAAAGGGATTCAGGTTCCACGTGGGCTTCAGAGCTGAGGGCTGTCTTCCTGTCGTCCTTCTCTATGACCACCAACCATTCTCCTTAGAGAGTCCCAGAGGTCCCAGGCTAGAGGGAAACCCAGCCTGGACCTGCCTGTTTACCTGCATAGAAATCCCATAGTGAAGCTTGGTTCTTCTCTTTTGTCTTGATTTGGAACACTCCAGAACCTTCTCCAAAGGTGGCTGTAAAATCTGTATACAAGGGTCTCTACTTCCCCCAACTGCTTCAAAGACTGTGCTGAAAAAGAAGCCAGAGAGACTTTCTGTACATTGTTATTCTTAAATTCAAATGCAACATACACATTAAAAAAAAAGATGTGTTTCTCCATTTGAAGTCAAGCATGACAAAGAGACAGAGATTTTCCATCCAATGCTTCACTTCCCAAACGGCTACAATAGTGTGGTAGGTACAAGCTGAACCCAGAATCCCCGAGCTCCATCTGGGTCCTCCGCATAGCTAGTAGGGACTACATATTTGGACCACCTTCAGCTACCTTCCCAGATACATTAACAAAGAACTGGTTTGGAAGCAGAGCATCCAGGACTTGAACTGGTGCCCACACGGTATGCTAGCTTTGTGGCAGCAGGTTAGCTTACTGTAATACAAAAACAGTCCCTGACAACAACTTATGCCTGTGCTAGTATAAAATTAGTGAGTAAAAATGTACTGAATTTAAGTCACACAAAATAATTTTTTTTAATTATTTTTATCGGAAAGTCAGATTTACAGAGCGAAGGAGAGACAGAAAAAAAAATCTTCCATCTGCTTGTTCACTCCTCAAGTGTCCACACAACAGCCAAAGCTGAGCTGATCTGAAGCCAGAAGCCAGGATCCAAGAACTTACTCCAATTCCCTGACATGGATACAGGGTCCCAAGGCTTTGGGACATTCTTGACTGTTTTTCCAGGACACAAGCAGGGAGCTGGATGGGAAGGGTGCCCATATGGGATCCTGGAAAATGTAAAGCAAGGATTTAGCTACTAGACTATCACACCGGGCCTCACACAAAATAAATGTAAAAGTCAGTTCTTCATTTCTACTGGCCCAATGTCTAGTGTTCAGTGACAATAGATAGCCAGTGACTACTATATCAAGAAGCACAGATACAGAACACTTGCATCTTCACAGAAGCTTCTATTGGCAAGCACTGGTCTAGGCACTTGTAAACATATATAATATATATTTATATACATATACATATATTACACATGCATATACATCATGTACATGTGCAGGTATATACATACATATATGTCTATTTTATATCTATTTGTGCATACAAATATATAGATATAGGTGTATAATAATATGTTACCCTCACCTCAACTCTTCAAGGTAAGAATTAACATGCCATTGTGCAGATAAGGAAAATGAGGCTCAACTCAAATGCCTTGCCTACAGCCAGATCCTTCGTCTGAGACTCCCCTATGCTACCTGCGAGCTTTTCCACCCTTTAGTAACTTATCACCTCACCTGTCCTCTCTCTGACCCTATTCTGAATAAATGATGTCTTTGTTGAGAGGTACACATCACACACCTTGTCCCCTGCCCTCCGAAGTTGGCTTAACACCTGCTCTCCATCAAACTGGTTGATTTATTCACAGCCTAGGAACCAAAAGACCACCTCCACCACCATTGCAGGAGCTCCACAGCCAATGGTGCTTTGTTCTCTGCTCAGCTTCAGCACTCCAGGTGCAGTGTGCACAGTCATACACCATGAAAATTGTTTAAGAAGATATTTAAAACATTCCTGAAGAGAATTTGGCTTTGTTAATGAGTTGTAGTGTAAGGCTCAAAGTTCATTGCCATGGAGTGGCTTGGCTCTGGGCTGGGTGTGTAACCAGCATCTCTTTGTACATGCACTCCACCAGATGTGCATTTTTAAATACCCAGCACTGGGCCCCGTTCAAATATTCGAAAAGCCAAAAGCCAAACGCTGCAGTCTGTAACACTTTGAATAACAGATACTCAACCTGTAGTAACCAGTTAGCAGTAGCTTTTCTTTATCGAGGTTCTGGGCACTTTGAAAGAAAGGCAATATATGCTTCTGTCTCCATGTGGGTTGCCCCAAAAGATAACCTGAGATGGGACTTGTTGCATACATCTTTTTAATTGATTTGTTGATTTGAAAGGCAGAACAACAAGGAAAGGGAGAGACAGAAAAAGATCTTCCATCTGCTACCTCGCTCCCCAAATACCTAAAATAGCAAGGGCTGGGCCAGGCCAAAGCTGGGAACCAGGATCTCCATCCACATCTCTCACTTGGGTGGCCCAGGTCCTTGAGTCAACCTCCACTACCTTCCCAGGTACTTCAGCCAGAAACTAGATGGGGAAGGGGAGGAACCTGGAGGAACCTGGACTTAAACCAGCACTGCGCTGGTGGATGGGAGTGTCCCTGCAGAGGCTTCCCCCACAGCAGCACAACTGTCGGGTTTTGAGAGATGATTCCAGGAAACACGTGAGGAAGTGGAGACGTGAGACAAGGGATAAGGCCAAGCACAACTGCAGGCACAAGAGCTTGCCTCTGTGGGTGCCTAGGCTCGCACCCAGTGGAAAGCCTGAGAAAGGGCTTGTCCCACGGATGTTCATCCACCAACTCCTAGCAAGCACTGCTTAAGGACCCTTGGCAATAAATCCCAAACATCTTTGGGCTCTCCAGCACACCAGCTGGGCAGGCTCCTGTAGTGTTAGCCCGTGCAGCTGCTAGAAAGCGTGAAGGTGCCTAAAGAAATATGGGAGGGGAATCAGCAGCACCTGCTACCTTCCCTTTCTGCATTGCTCAAGCTCATACAGCTGGAGTGGAATTAAACCCCGGTTAACATGCTTAATTCCAAAGCCTTGCTCTTTCTGCTCCCTGAGGTTACCTTTGGCTTATACCTCCTGCCCCTGTCCTGCTATTGGTGTGCCCACTATCTCTAACCGTGTCTCCTCCTCACATTGCCCCCCAGGAAAATTCCCTCCACTGGCAAGTTGGTGCTGACCCTCACAACTGACGCATGCGAGGGGAAAGAGAACTTTGTGCGCTACCTGGAGCATGTGCAAGCTGTCATCACAGTCAATGCCACAAGGAGAGGAGACCTGAACATCAACATGACTTCCCCTATGGGCACCAAGTCCATTCTGCTGAGCCGGCGACCCCGGGATGATGACTCTAAGGTGGGCTTTGACAAATGGCCGTTCATGACCACCCACACATGGGGGGAGGACGCCCGAGGAACCTGGACCCTGGAGTTGGGCTTTGCAGGCAGCACACCCCAGAAGGGCGTGCTGAAGGAGTGGACACTGATGCTGCATGGCACGCAGAGTGCACCTTACATTGACCAGGTGGTGAAGGATTATCAGTCCAAGCTGGCCATGTCCAAAAAAGAGGAGCTGGAGGAAGAGTTGGATGAGGCCGTGGAGAGAAGCCTGGAGGGCATCCTCAACAAGAACTAGGCAGCCCTTACCCCCAGCACCCTCGCACTTCCTCTCTGCCTCTGTCCACAGCCCCCCGTTCCTGCCCACACCCAGCAACCGTCACCCCTCACAAGCCAGTCCGCCGTCTCAAGCTGAAGCTTTGCTCACTGTCAATAATGATTTCATCACAAGGAAAGTAACCTTTCTTTTTATTACACCATGCCCCAAATATAATGTTTGCCACCATTATCTATATCCCATGTGATGAGACTCCAAATTCTCTCTATCATCCAAACGGGTGAGATCCTACAAACAAAACTGGCACAGCTTTACCCCACCCCACCCAAATCCTCCCTCCCCACCCCATATCTGAGAGAAGAGTGACTTTAACAAGCGACGCACAGGTACTCCCAGGACACGTGTCCATGGCCTCATCTAAGCACAAGGCAGGTGAAAGATCCTTCGGGAAAGGTGATTGGACTTGAGCACGATTTGTCAGACACGTTGGTGAAGCTGCCATCCACGGAGCGGCCTCATTGCTAGACAGGAGAGAGAGATGCAAGCAGCAAGAACTTTGGAAGTGTTGTCACTTAATGCCAAGACCCAAAAGAAAATACGATAAGTCAGCAAGGCAGATCTGGCTCTGCCCGTGGATCTGATCTGGGGAAGGGTCCTTTGTTCTCTGATTTCAAAACCTTTGGAGGCATCTTTAACTGATATAAGAGAGAGGCAAGAGCAGCAGGGTTTTTCTGTTTTGTTCTGGTTTTTCAAAACTTTACACACACCTATGTGGGCTTTAATTTCAAACACCCCTCATAAAAAAAAAAATCACAGAAAGGAATAACTTGCTCCCTCTTGCTATAATGTCCTGATGTGTTGTGGTGATGGGGTGTGAAGGACTACAGAGGCCTAGTTGGGGAGCTGAATGGCCGTCCCTACATGGACCCCTCTCTGGGTGCAGCCTCTTCTGTTGAGAGAGACATGCCAGCTCTCCCCCGGTCACCTGAGATGCACGGGAGGCAAGAGGGCATCTCCGCTGACTAAGCATCTCAGCCACCCATGATCACATCCCCCCCCCAAAAGCACCATTTCCTTACTAGATAGATGTCACCAAAGTGACTTCTTATCCCTCTTTTGGCCTATCAGAGGCTTGGCCTCGGTTGCAGCACCAACTCATCCCAAGAAATGGTTACTTCTCACCCTCTCCCGGCTCCTCCCTCCCGTTTCCCAAAGCCAGCACTGCAGAGCACCAGTGTCCATTCCCTCACAGTGGCAACTTTGAGAATCTGAAATCCTGTTCTCTGCCTTTTCTCCGCTCCCTTCATGCTGCCATGAATTTCTGTCTTCTTAATCATCTTGTGATCTTCCCTCCATCATGCTTTAAAGTGTAATATTTATGATTTTTTTAAAAAGAAATTTATTACTCGTGGCAAAGGTCTTTTTAAACCAGTTATTTAAAGAAACAATAAATGGAAAATCATTGGAAATTCATTTCACATTTATCATCTGAAACTAAACCAAAGGACATTATATGTGTGTAAGTCACACAGAAATATATATATACATATGTAGACTATATACACGTGTGTATATGTGTATATATATACACTTGTATAAATGTATAGACACACATATACCCCACATGCGTGTATGTGTACTTATTAAAGAAACAGATACTATATTCATCTCTAAAAGAATATTCAGAGACCATCAAGATGATTCTGGCTAAAGAAAAAGGCCGGCGGGAATTCAGGTCAAGTGTCCATCTACCCATCCCCATTGCATCACCTGTGTAATTTCACAGCTTTCTGTATTAACATTAAATGTCTTATATAGCAGCAAAACTATAAAGTAGTTGTCCATATTTTCACAGTTGTGGTATAATTTATGAAATTAGAAAGTCAATTATCAGCTTCTCAATAGAAATGGCAAGTTTTGATATGAGTATACGCTATATAAATATATATTTAGTGCTATATATACATATTTGGTCTCTTTTTTTGCATCAGGATTGACACTAATCTAGCTAGTGCTGTTTTTATAGTATCCTTGATCCTAATGCAAGAGACATTTCTAGTCATTTATTTAAAAAAAAAAAAGAGAGAGAGAATAAGTGAATAATAATGGATCAGGTTAACTTGTTATGCCCTGTGCCAAATTTTATAAGTAAATTTAAAAGGACATGCTGTAAATCAGGAGACTCAACAATAAAACATTGCCTTCCAGAAATTATGTGCGATATCTTCCATCCATTCTAGGGGCATGGAATGAAAAGTCACTGTAGAGAAATCTTAAAAGTCTAGCTGAGTAAATTTGCGTGAAAAATGCATAATTAATGTGTAAATCACACACGTAAGTTATAGTCAATGGCAGCATGTTTCAAATTGAGGTTGTGCCCCCTAGTGTGTTGTAAATTCAATTCAAAAAGTCAATACCAGAGCTTTTCTTTTTGTTGGTCTTTTTTATTTTAACTTTTTTTTTTTTAATTTGGAAGGTAGATTTACAGAGAGAGATCCATTCGATGATTCACTCCCAAGTGGTCACAACGGCCTGAGTTGAGCCAATCCAAAGCCAAGAGCCAAGAGCCACTTCTGGTATCCTACACAGGTATAGGATCTCAAGGCTTGGGCCATCCTCTACTGCTTTCCCAGGCCATAGGCAGTGGAACAGCTGGGACACGCAGGAGGTGCCCAGTGGGATGCCAGCGTTGCAAAGGGAAGGATTAGCCTGCTACATCCTGCCACCCCTGCCTGAGAGCTTGTGGTTTTTAGAGTAACTCCCTGCCTAACTACTTGTTCTCTGAGTGTAGATTCTGGGTCACAGTGGGAAATCCATTTCCCAGTACGGGTAACAATAAGAATCTTCTAGAAAAAGTACTTCAGGATGTGTTCACCAGGGTAGACCAAGTTATACTACCAGAGCAAACATCTCAAATTTTCAATCATTTAACATAATCAAGGTTGCTGTATCATTGCTACAAGTTCCAGTTGGGGCACAAGAGACTCCCCAAGGCCACAGAAGTGAAGCCTTGGGGACCTCCCTCCACTTTTTTTTTTTTTCATTTTCTTTCTTTATTTTTATGCATTTGAAAGACCAGAGGCAGACAGTGATCTTCCACCTGCAGGTTTGCTACCTAAATGCCCATAACAGCGAGGACTGGACCAGGCTGAACCTCCGTAAGAAGCCCAGTCCAGTTCTGCCACAGAAGTGGCAGGAACCCAAGTGTTTGAGCCATCTCCCACTGCTCCCCAGGGGTTGAGATGGGTTTGAACTAAGGGCGCACTAACATGATACAGATCTTAGTCACTGAACCAAATGCTTACCCTGTCACATGGCTTTTTAGTAGGTCACCACCAGTTATGTGCTGGAAAAACTTTAGGGTGGACTAGATTCTAACGGCGGCTCAAAAATCCTCTCTGCTAACACATACTCCAAGTCAAGGAGAGAACAAAAGTGAAGGGTCGCCCACAAAGGTGGCAGAAAGACAGAGACACCAGTTTACAAATGTCTTCTGATACCCAAGTTGGATTTGGTAGCCAACTTTGCGGCTGCATCTCCAATATCCAGGATTCAGCAAACTGCAGCCCACGAACCCCTATAATTCCTGTGTTTGTCAACATGATTTTGCTGGAAACAGCCATGCGTGATGGCTTTTGTGTCACTCATGGTGGCATACACGCTGTCACAGCACAGCTGAGTGGCTACACAAATGACTGCATAGGCTGAAGTTTGGCCCTTTCTAGAGAAAGTTGGCCAGCCTTCGCTCTGGATCGTTACGGCCCTCCAAGGGTCACCTGTGAACTGTTAACATACAAGTCAAAGGCTGCACAGCCCTGCCTGCAGCCGCGAGGTGGGGACAAAGGGACACCCTCCAGCTACGATCATGCCAGGCCCTGTGTGCAGCAGGCTAGGGTCGCCAGAACAGCAATGGCCAGGGCCACCATCAACAGAAGGCATCAGATGACAGAGAAAAAAATCTCCACTTCCTTGCCTCCCACCAGGGCAATGTGGTGAAGGCCCCCTTGCTAGTCTCTTTAAGGATCATTAATGGGATGGAGTCCCAGCTGCCCCTCCTTTCCCTGTCTCATGTCCATCCCTTCCTTCCTCAGGAGATACAGACCAGAACAGGGAGTCTTTAACAGGCAGAATTTACTGGAAAATACCATACATGAAGGAGAAAGCCTTATTACTTAGTGAATTCAAAACGCCAAAGAGAACTCAAAAACTGTATCTGAAGTTGTCTAACATGGGGGAGGCAGTGGCTCAGAGCTGTAGGGAAATGGAAGTTCCACTCTTCTCCCAGGGCAGGATCCTAAGGCCACCCAGCCCTCCATTGGGCCTGCTGTCGTGTCTCACCCACAGTACCAGGAGATGGAGTCTGAGCACCTGTACCAGGACCTGAAAGGTGGAGAGCAACAGCTGCGCAGGACCAAGCCAAGGACACGCCTCGCTGGTGGAGGTCCACAGGGGCCCCAGATGTCAAAAAAAGCAAAGGAACCATCTCACAGCTGGTCCCCCTCAAGGCTTTGTGGTCTTACACTTGAATCTGATAAGACAACTTGAAGGGGGCTGGCACAGTCTCTCAACTGGCTAAGCCTGTGCTTGCAAGTGTCAGTATTCCATATGGGTGCCAGTCCCCATGTGGGAGACCTGGAAGAGGCTCCTGGCTTTATCAGCTCATCTCCGGTCACTGGGGCTTTTTAGGGAGTGAACCAGAAATGGAAGATTTTTCTCTGTATCTCCTTTTCTCTATAAACATTCCTTTCCAATAAAAATAGAAAAATAAAAAGGGGGTGGGGGGGTGGAAACGAGGGTACAGGACCCAGGCTCGGGGCTCCGAAGAGCGGGAGGCCCCATCTAGCCAGGGGGTTTCTCTGGGTAGGTCCCAACAAGAATGCCTTCTCCAATGCTGGTGGAACTGGGAACAAGAGTCAGCTATGGTCAGAAGGGCATTGCCAAGGGGAAGCAGCTGCCAGTCAATTCGGGCTGCTGTTCCAGAGGCCCCTAGGCTGACGTGGACAGGAATCGAAAGACACGAAAAAGGAGTGGCCCCGGCTCCCTTGGTCCTGCAGCGTCTTACTCCTCCTCTCCCCACTGACAGATCCCCACCCCACCCCCCAGAAGGCATTCTGACACCTGCCATTCTGGCTTTGGGGAGGCCTGCTCAGAGACCCCAAGTTTACTGACAAGGAGACGTCAAGGCAGGGAACAACTGGAAAATGAACCCCTCTGTCACTCCTGGGAGAGCAGGAAGAGGTAGGAAGCATAGAGACCAAGCAGGGGAGTGGTGGGCAGAGGGGGCAACATCCCTGGGACACCAGGACTGTGGGAGACCAAATAACCACTGGGACCAGCTCCACTATTACACCCCAGGCCCAACCACAGGAGGAGCCTACCAGCAAATGGGGCTCCCCAGCTCCTGCCCACCACAACTGAGCTTCCTCCCATGGACCCTCTCTGTTCCCTTTATTTCTCCTCCTGGCACAGGCCAAGTTCCACATGCAGCTTGGCCAGTAATGCTTGCTCCTTGGGTCTTCACATAGTGACCCCCTGTTGTCAACACATCCTCCAGGGAGTCTCCCCTGGACCACCCAGTCCCCAGTAGGCCCTAGTCACGCCAGCGTGTGACCGATGCGATTTCCCACCAGTGTATCTCCCACAGAAACTAAGCAGTGTCTTGGCTGTTTGCTTCATGGTGCATCCTTCCTCCCCCAGCAGAATGTTCCGTCTTATTCTCTGCTGCCCAGCACAGAATGGGTTCTCTTGATTAATGGAATCAAATATTTAAAAAATTAATCACCTTTCATTCCAAAATAATAATTTCTGCCTTTTAAAATACAAATGTTGACTATACATATGGCCAAAGTAAATTGAATGAACTTCATGATGGGCAAGCCAGTGTTTGCACCAGCTGCTAATGCTGCCTACCACATACACACAGGGCCGAATTCCTAGCACAAACTGGTTCTCCAACAGACAGCTCCTGGCTTACACATACTTGAAACCTCTGCAATGGAGTGTGTTCTCCAGGCATCTTCCAGAAAGAACCCAGAAGCCTATTTCTTTCTTGAAATTAAGACTTCAGATGAACTTGGGTCAACAAGTTTAAAGCTTTAAACAGAATGGAAAGGTGACTCCAGTTATGCTCCTGACATTCATTACCAAGATATAACAGAGGGTTAATGTGTGTCTGTTGGTTTTTCTTTGATAACATGGACCTGCCGGATGCTTTTCAGGGGCTGAGTGATCCACTTAGGCACATTGCGTCAAAGTCTTTAACTGTGTATTTGAGACAATCCACATAGGGAGGAATTGTCTTAATTAGTATAAATGGAGTTATTTTTGGACAGCTAGTAGGAAAAAATTAGATGCTTAAGGGCACCTGCAATTTTGGTGAAGATGGGGTGGGAGTAATTTCTGGCTTTTTGGGTGTGGCATGGTCACATTCCGCTAGGATAGGGATAGACCCCAGTCATTCAGACC